TATATATATATATATATATATATATATATATATATAATGAATAGTACTTCGTCCCGCCACAGACTTGCTATGTCCGCGATAGTTTATTGAACGGACCCGCATCGGATGGCGCAATGTCCGTGACGCTTCCACGTGATTTTTTGACCATCACAGACCTAGCATGTCTGTGACGATACTGCCACAGACTTCTTAGGTCTGTGTCAGTTGTTTTATCCACGCCGCCCAATTTTTTCAGACGGTGATGAGCCTATGGGTGAAGACACTGTTCATTATCGCCCATAGGAGTTGGGTAGATGCTTCCATACGGGCTGACAGCCAAAGTGTCAGCCAACGACCCATCTTCATTTGAAACCTCCTACTAAAAATTATGCTTGTACTACAATACCTGATAAAGGATCTTTGTGGCATCAACATTTGGGTCAGATTTCTACTTTTCGGTTAGAATTTTTGTTTATTTGTGATGTTATTTATTCTATTTCTTCTAAAAATTTTTCTACTGTTGAAGATTGTGAGTCGTGCAAACTTTAAAAAATGCATGCATTACCATTCAATCGCAACAATTCAATTTCTGCTTCTATGTTTGATCTAGTGCATACTGAAGTCCGGGGACCCGCTCTTCTTGCGTCAATGAAGGGGTCAAGATATTATGTCATTTTTATTGAAGATCACATCAGATATACTTGAGTTTTCTTTATGAATAACCGCAGTGAACCATATGACATCTTTGTCCAGTTTTATTCAAACATTGAAACTCAGTTTTCCACCAAAATCAAAACCTTGCGATCAAATTCTGGTGAGGAGTATATTAGTAGGATGTTTCAAAAATATCTTTCTGACAAAAATATTCAACACCAAAAATCTTGTCCATATACTCCAAAACAAAATGGTATTGTTGAATGCAAAATCACCACATTTTAGAAACTATATGAGCTCTTCTCTTGTCAGCCTCTGTTCTAGAGGCTTTCTTGACAGAAGTTGTTCGTGCAACCATTTATCTGATTAATATTATGCCTTATGTTGTCTTGTTTGTATGTTTCCCTTTTAAACGATTGTTCACTCAACCCCCAAACTATTCAATTCTTCGTTTTTTTGGTTGTACAAGCTTTGTTATGTTGCCAGTATCTGAACATGACAAATTATTTGCCAAATCAATTAAATGTTGTTTCCTAGGTTATCACGACCACCAAAAGAGTTATAGATGTTATGACCCTATGACTAGAAATCTTTGGTATCCCGACATTTGGTATTTTCTGAGCATATTCTTTTATATTCCCGTCCACCTACTGAGTCTTCTTCCACTTATTTTCTTGTCCATTTCTCAGATGATATTTCTCTTGTGTTTGCAACCTTACCCATGCTTCCCTTTCTCAGATGATATTTCTCTCAACTACTGTTGATAAACCACGTCGGGCACCTGCACCTGTTGTCCACCGTCGTGCTCGTGCCCTTGTTTTTCCTTCACGATTTGTTGATTATGAAATGTTTTTACCTAAGCGTCGAGCATTTCTTGCTCCTGTTCATTCTTACTCTAAGCCGCAGACATATGAGGAAGCTGCCAAATAACTAGAGTGTCAAGAATCCATGGTAGAAGAATTAACCGCCCTTGACAAAATGCATGCTTGGGATCTTGTTCCTCTTCTCAAAGATAAAATAGCTATTGGCTGCCGGTGGATATATAAAATTAAAATTAAAGCTGATGGTTATATCAAGTGCTATAAGGCACAACTTGTGGCTAAAGGTTATAGTCAACAATTTGGGATTGATTTTACTGAAACCTTTGCTCATGTTGCCCACATAACTACAGTTTGTACTTTGATTTCTGTAGCTTCTATTTACCAATGTCTGCTATATTAGCTTGATGTAAAACATACATTTCTTAAAGGCGATCTTGTAGAAAAAGTATATATGAGTCGCCTCATGGGGTTTCTGAACATGCCAATAAAGTTGGTCGACTACGACGCATCCTCTATGGGCTTAAACAAGCTCGTTGTGCTTGGTTTGAAAATTTTAGCCCTACTGTTATCTCTACAGGTTTTCGTAAGAGCCATCATGACCCGACAATGTTTGTCTTAGTCACACCCAAAGGCCGCGCAATTCTTCTACTCTATGTTGATGATATGATCATTTCTGGTAATGATGAGGCTACTATACATCTAATCAAGCATAAACTTAGTCAACTTTTTGAGATGAAAGATTTGGGATTCTTGAAATATTTTTTGGGCCTGGAAGTTGGTTATTCTCCTCATGGGTATTTGCTCTCACAACTCAAGTATGCCTTCGATATTATTTCTCGAGTTCGTCTAGTAAATGATACAAAGTACTATGCCACACCTACTGAGCTGAAGGTCAAACTTTGGTCTATAAATGGTGAACCTCTTTTGGATCTTACATTTTATGGGCAGCTTGTTGGAAGTTTGATTTATTTGACTATCTCTCGGCCAGACATTGCTTACGATGTTCATCTTGTCAATCAATTCTTGAGTACCCCTCATTCTGTTCACTTGGCAGATGTTTTACATAGTATTCATTATATTCGAGACACGCTTGATCGTGCTCTGCTACTTTCAACACCTTCCACTCTAGAGCTCCGTGCCTATACTAACTCTGATTTTGCTGGGGATACTACTGATCGAAAGTCTACTGTAGGTTTTTGTATTTTTCTTGGTGACTCCTTTCTTTCTTAGAAGAGCAAAAAGCAGAAATATAATGCTCGATCAACAGCTGAAGCTGAGTATCGAGTAATGGCCCAAACAATAGCTGAGATTGTTTGGCTTCGCTAGTTATTAGCTTATTTGAGTGTGGAGTTTTCTAAGCCCACTCCCTTGTATTGTGATAACAAAAGTGCGATTTATATTGGAAAGAACCCAGAGTTCCATGAACGCACCAAACATATTGAAGTAGATTGTCATTTTGTTTGACATTACTATTTAGCAGGGACAATCTCTCTTCAATATATCTTATCTTTCGCATAGCTGGCTGAGTTCTTTATGAAGTCCCATAATGCCCCTCATTTCTCAAGCCCTGCTTCTAAAATCTCAATGGTTCGCTTTCAGCCATCACGAGTTTGAGAGGAAGTGTGAAACTATATATATTTACTTTCTTCTTTTTATTAGATATGATGATCTTTCTATGATCATGCAGGATGTATTCTTTCCTTTTTTGTATATCACACAAGTTATGCAATGTAACCACCCTTGTATACATATATGGGATTTCTTCCATAGGTTTATTATACAAAAACAAAGATGTCTCACAATAAGGATGTCTCTAGCAAAACCGTTCTTCTTGACATTCATTGATTTTGATTTTGTCATTTTTTTATAGTAAGAATCAAACTTAAGATATAGCATCACCTGCTAACCACTCAAGCCCAAGTCCAGTTCCTGATTAATATAAGTTATGTTTTACTTGCGGAAATTTACGTATGGACTGAGTTTTTTTTACCATTATAATGGTATGACACAAAAATAGCACTTTATTACCTAGAAGGATGGATCCACTTTTTTTTTTGCCAAATTTGCCCGCGATCGGACCGCTTTATTTTCCCCTTGAAAACTTGCTCTCTTCTCTCTTCTGTCTCACCTGCTCTCGTTTCTCTCTCTCTTTCCCTGGTTTAATCTCGTGCTCTCTCTCAGTCTCTCATATCTTAGGCTCTCTCTCTTTCTCTCTCACAAAGCCCTACTCCCATTAACTACAGATATCACTCTCTCTCTTATAATTTGGGATTTTGTTGGGGAAAAATATTTGGGGTTTTTTTTGGGGAAAGCTTTTACGCTACAAAAAAGGATAATTTTCTTATTACATTCAAATTACATGTTTATGTTTTATTAAACCACTTGATTTTAAAAAAAAATAAAAAATTTCAACCCAAGGCGGTACGATGGTTCAAACATTAGATCACTTAGTTCAATGAAAAAAAACACAACAAAAGGCGATCCGATGTTTTTTACATCGGACCATACGGTTCACTCCAAAATTCATCAAGATTCGCTCAGATGTTAGAACCATCGGACCGCTTGATTTCCACAAAAAAATTGCAACAAAATGCATAACGATGGTTCAAACACCAGACCACATCGGTCACTTAGAAAATCTCAACAGAATGCGGTCAGATGTTCGGACCACTTGATTTTCACAAAGCATTGCAATAGAATGTGATCTGATATTTTTAACATCGGAGCACTTCGTTCATTAAATTTTTTCAGCAGAATGACGTCCGATGTTTCAACCATTGAATCGCTTTTACATAAAAAATTGCAATAGATTATGGTCCGAGGACCGGGGGCAAACTTGACGAAAAAAGATAAGTATTGGGGTACGTAAGTGGTCTTGGGGCAAGCTCGAAAAAATTAAAAAAATTCGTAGATCCGTCCTTTCAAGTAATAACTCACTATTTTTGGACAATACCGTTTTAACGATAAAAAAAACCTGGTTTGTACGTAAATTTTCCTTTTACTTCTGATAACAATATTGGATTTTCTTGTTTCGAATGAGAGGGAGCCAACACCAAAAATTGGAAACCAACAAATGAAAACATACAAATAGCAACTAGTAAAGAAAAAAAGACGGTCATATAAAATGAATGTGTAATTTATTTACATTCTAACAAAATTAGACAATTTTGTACCCCAAAAAAAACAAAAAAGATAAGCTCCATTATGAGCTTAAAAGCCACAAAGAATGTTGTTGGGAGGGATGCTTCTATGCAAGCAAAGGGAAGGCAAAGGCTCTCTGCATGATTTAATGGAAACCAATGCCTTCTCCACCTCCACACACGTATTCTTGCTCAATAGAGACACTATGTACTCCATAAGAGATGCCTCACATGGCACTTGCAGAGGACCACATCTCATGAATCTGAACTCTTCTTCCGTCATGGATAGCAACTCTTGAAAGATGGGGCAGTTGAGATAAGCCAATGGAATCATGAACCGGCTTCCATCCATTGCATAGATGACAAAGTGGCCTTTGTCAGCTACCAAACTTCTTCGCTGATTGGGTGTCCTCTTGAGGGAGATTCCCTTCCTCGGTTTAATGGCTTGCTTTTGCCATTTGCGAGCTATTTGCAAAAAGTATTTTAGAGTTGATCATGGCTCCAATGAGGATAAATTAACTTTCTAAGAGTGGAATGGGAAGCAATTGATGGATGTGAGTTGTGTGTAAGAGATGGGCTTCATATAGATTATTTGGTCTTCAATTGTGTGGTTCAGACTTCAAAGAGAGAGAGATAAGGGCATGGAAGGAAGACAGTAACACATGGAGTTGTTCACAGGGGCATTGCATCTGTTGATGGTTGGCTGGGTTGCCAATTTTCCAATATATGACCATGCATTTTTGTATTTAAATAGAAAGCAACATATATTGAGCATAGAGACAAAAGTAATGGTGGGTTTTGTTGCAAGAATGTAGTGCACATGTTTAAGTGATGATGGGTGGAGAGAGGAAAAAAAAAAAGGCCTTTTGTGTGTGTATGTTTTGAGTGGGAGACTAACATTTCACTATTTATGGCTACATAGAGCGAATAGCTTGGGCCTTAGCAATAGTATTGCCGATCTTCATGGTGGTCTCTAACTTCATTCTCACCAAAGGGTTGGGGTCCAAATCCCCACTAACTTACTATTTTTTTAGGAAAAAACGCTTAGACTTAATTGGTTTTTTAGGAAAAGAGCTTGGACTTAATTGGTTAGTGCTTGACGATTTGCAATGCTATGTGCTAGGCTCAAATCCTAAAAAAAGTAGAGGCCCAAATCCAAACTGACATAATACTTTTTTTAGGAAAAATTCTTGGACTTAACTGGTTTTTTAGAAAAAGAGCTTGGACTTAATTGATTAGTGCTTGATGATTTGCAAGGCTATATCCTAAGCTTTAAAAAAATGGTATGAAATGGACTTAACAAAAAGGTACGGAATGTTATAGCATTCAGTCAGTGCGTTCAACGGACCCCTGTTGTTGTCCTAGCTTGAATCCCATGACCCATGCTTATTTATAACTTTGACAATGGTTGGTTTTAGTGGGTTGTGGACTCACCAATCTAAATGAGCCAACCATCCGAAAACCTTTCCCAAAGTTTCACCAGTTCACACTGCTTATTTATTACTTTGACAATGGTGGGTTTTGGTGGGTCTGTGAACTCACTTATTTAAATGAGTCAACCATCCAACAACCTATTCCCAAAGTTTCACTGGTTCATACTCCGATCCACAATCAGAAGAAAATAGAATATATTGTAGTCATTTTTTTGCTATTTTCATGAGGTCGGCACAATTTTTGAAGCTGCAACCACTGATCTGAGGAGGAATAATTTGAAACATATTTCAAATCTTCAATATTTGGAAAAATTAGGGTGACTGTCGATGAACAATAACGTTTTCCTTGTAAGAGTGACTTCAATTATAAAGCTTTTCACACAATTCCGGGCATTTCAATGTATTTTTTTAAAAATTATATGTACTGGCATTTCTCCCTTTCTTTTATTTGTGCAAGGGTGTCAGATATGGTTGTTCTTCAGATCTTATATGGTTGTTCTTCAGAATTAATAGTGTGTTTGGTAGTCATTGTTGTCAGATCATGTAGGGCCAATGCATGGCGATTGTTTTCAGATCATATTGGTCTATCTGGTGCCGACCAATAAAATTAAATTGCACTAAATGCATATTTCACTTTACAAAATAGGTGGACAAATCATTCCTCTCCATTTTCACTTCACTAACAAGTATCTCTTTAAATTTTTTATTTAAAAATAACCAAATTATTTTAACTTCACTAACAGGTATCTCTTTAAATTTTTTGTATAAAAATAACCAAATTGCTCGAGTTCAGGCTTGGAAATCGAAACAAGCATTGCTGTTTTCGTGATTTGGCCTCTCCTCATTGGTGTGAGCCAAATGACATGATTATCCCAGTTTATTCAGGTTATAAATCATTAAGAACATGCTTTTCATGAATAATCCATCATGCCGACTGCTTCATTTGATGAAATCCTTGCATATCACAATGCTTAATCTCAAACAACACAAGAAAGTCGGTGAAAATAGCCAATTTACTCAAACCACCTGAATGAATACTGAAATTAGATGTGTTTGACTGACTTCTTATTGGACATCCTTCTAACCTCAATAATCTCGGCTAACTATATTTTTCATTGTTAACTCTAAATCAAACGTTTTACAGAGCATCCAAAAAATCAAAGATATGTTCTTTCAATGGCAAGCAACAAATGATGATAAGATCTCAGTTGGTTGAAGTTTAGGCTAAAATATTTTTCAATGAACATTTTATCCAAATGAAATATAGAGTAGCCAAGCATTTAAAGACATGTTCTTCCGATGGCTAGCAAAGTGAGAGACCCTCTATCACATTAGGATTTGTTGCCTCTGGAGCTAGTGCAGAGGCATATCAACATCACAATATAATGCATGTAGTATGGGGAGATGAATAAGAGAAATGTGGTGGGCACCCTCTCATTCATAGGTTTCCTTGTAATTTTCCTGATAGTGAAGCAGTGCTTCTAATGATGATGTCTGCATAATTGTTTTTTTTTTTGTTTTGTATATATTGATGGTGGGAATGGACGATGGGACGTTATGTTGAGGCATCTGCCCCTAACTACCGATGCCGCTATCCCATTGTCCGTTGTAATCTGTGCAATGGTTCTCGCTGTATAATGAAGACATTGCCAGTGTCATTTACTGTGTAATAGTCAACTCTTGGCTGAAAAAAGGAAGGTTGTGTAAAAGGTGTACAAACATCGTCACGTGAATTCAGCATGACCATTGTCTTCTTGGGCCCAATGGCTTTCATGGCCCCATTGTCTTTCATGGCCCCAATGTCTTTCATGGCCCAATGTATGTCGTATATAAATGGATATGACCACTCAGAAATGATAGCCTACCAACTAAAGGCCCAACTCTGTTACACACCTTGCCACACAATCTCTCTCTCTCTCTCTCATAATCAGTTACTTTTCTCCTAGTCACAATTCACAACTATTCTCCTTTTGAACCATTGATAGAAGGTTTCTTTTTGCTCATTATTCCAGCCATGATGAACTCCACAAGATTTGGCAGATGGCATGAAAATGGCAAAAGCCACAGGTGATAGAGTGGGCTCTGTGGCATAGGAGGGTCACATAATTATTTATACAACTGATGGAAGTTGTTTTGTAATTCCAACACCCAAACCAAGTGCCTGCCGGTCCTATGTCAACCAAGCCAGCCCAGCAGACTCAACTGCTAATTTAAAAGTGAAAGGTTTCTATGCTTCTTCTTCAGCATAAAGACGCATACTTCTCCTTTTATCTAGCCAACCATTCAATCTAGATCCAATGCCTCAAAGTATTTCATTTTTAATTTTTTTCTACTAACTATATGAATATGAAAATTGGTATGTGCCATCACCTCAATGAGGCGCACCTAAATAAAATATTAAAAACATATTTTTGATCAAATAAAATGATCAAAATACCCTTGAAACTTTCAGGGGGTATTTTAATCATTTTAATTTATTGATAATATTTATTGATATGTTTTTTATAGGTGCGAGTTCAAGAGAGGATTGAACACCCAAATTTTGGTTTCAAAAGGTTTTGTATAAAAACAAATTAAAAATAAAATAGTACAGGGTGATTGGGGCCATCTAATCTGTCCTTTTAGAATGGACGGTTGGTTAGGGGGAAGGATAGAAGTTTTATGCTGCAAGAGAAGCATAAAAAGCTTGCCCATTTTAAAAATATAGAGAACAAAGATAATAATAATAATAAATAAATAAAAAGGCAAAAAATTTATAGAGAATGAGTCAAGGTTTTAAAATGTTCTGGATCAGAATCGTCCAATCCGGATTGAGAATTGGTGGAGACAGTTCGGTTCCCACAATTTATCGGGAACCAACAAATCCCTCCTAAGAACGATGCGATTCAATGTAGGAATCAGCCGGTTCTGGCTCTTTGCCAATTCCTACAATAAACTGGTTGATTTGGCCCCAATTTATAACTTTTAAATATTTATTCATAAATTTTTAATTTAAGAATATTCTTTTGTTATCATAATAATTTCAACTTTTAAAAAAATTATTAAAGAAGCCCACTCACAAATGTGTGAAGGCCATGGTCCATAAGGAACGATAGAGCATAAAAAGATTTGAGTTTAGAGGAATAGAGTAGTAACATCTGCTAAACATTGGATACTTGTCTTAGTTTTGTATCCCATCCTCCCTTGAATGCCCTTCATTACTATGGATTATGTAAGCTCATGAAGAGGACATTCCAATTTCCCACATAGGTGTGGCTTTTCCTTTTCTCGACATCATTATGATATTAGGATGTCTAGGAAAAACTGTTTTTCTCGCTATTCATCAAACTGTTGTCAATTTTTTCTTTGGCTAGTTCAGCAGTAGGAATCAATCTTGAGATGTAGTGTCAATTGCTAACACCTCAAACCCAAGCCTGGTTCCTAACTACTACAGGTTATGTTTTACTTATAATACCAATCTTGGTTTCCCTTGATTCCGAATAAGAGGGAGCCCCCAAAAAACATGGAAGCATACCAGTAGCAACGAACGAAAACGGGTGGTGATATAAAATGAATATTTACTTTTGATATATTCGAACAAAGTTGTACAATTCTGCACAAAAAGTAAATAAAAAAGGCTCCGTTATGAGCTTAAAAGCCACAAAGAATATTGTTGTCGGGGATGATTCTATGCAAGCCAAAGAAAGGCAAAGGTTCTCTGCATGATGTTATGGAAACCAATGCCTTCTTCACCTCCACACAAGCATTCTTGCTTAATAGAGACACTATGTACTCCATAATAGATGCCTCACACGGCATAAGCAGAGTCCACATCTCGTGAATCCGAACTCCTCTTCTGCCATTGACAACAACTCTTGAAAGATGGGGCGGTTGAGATAAGCCAATGAAATCATAAACCGGCTCCCATCTACTGTATAGATGACAAAGTTGCCTTCAACGGCTACCGAACTCCCTCGCTGACTGGGAGTTCTCTTGAGGGAGATTTTCTTCCTCTGCTGACTAGCATACTTTTGCCATTTGCGAGCCATTGGCAAAAGTCTCTTAGAGTTAATCATGGCTCCAATGAATATAAATTAACTTTGTAAGAATGAAATAGGAAGTCCTTAGAGAGAAAGTAGTGGATTTGAGTTGTATGTAAGAGGTGGGATTTATAGTGTATTTTAGTCTTCAATTATGTGGTTCTGACTTCAGAGAGAGATAAGGGCTTGGAAGGAAGACAATAGCACATGGAGTTGTTCATAGGGGCATGGCATATGTTGGTGGTTGTTGTTGTTGTTGTTGTTGTTGTTTATTATTATTATTATTCTTATTATTATTATTATTATTATTATTATTATTATTATTATTATTATTATTATTATTATTATTATTATTATTATTATTATTATTATTATTATTATTATTATTATTATTATTATTATTATTATTATTATTATTATTATTATTGTTATTATTATTATTATTATTATTATTATTATTATTATTAGTAATGTATAGTATTAATTAGTTATTAGTATTACTTATTTA